CTCAAGCTGTTTTTGACTATTGGCCAGTGAAAGAGAATTAATGGTGAAAGTACAGGTCAAAACATAAATTGGAACCGTTCTTAAATTTCAAGCTGTGTAAAAATCAGTTAGCAGGGGGGGGGGCAGATTATGTTACATTTAAGTAAAAATAGTATTTATGCCTTCCAGTTCTGCCGGTGATCGAATATTTCAGTTTATGGTACAGGATTTGCTTGGTGTAAATGTACCACATCTTTGCTGCTAGTCGTTTAGAGAGACTGCTAAACAGGCCACAGCTCCGCGGTATTTGAAAACCTACGGTGCACTAAATACAGAACTGCATATGTGAGTTGGCTTGAACAAGAGCGCGTTCCAATTCTAACTAAATCTTTCATTATCCGTAGACAAACACATCGATGAAATATAGCCCAGTGTTCCGGGACACCTACCATACAGGAGAACTGTAGAACTGTATAATTTCCTAGTACCAAATGGGGAACATAGACTGCTATACAGGCAAAGTCAATCACAATTTTCTGCGACATTTATTTTACTAGTGTTGCAAAACAATATATCGACTAAAGGACGTTAGTCTTCTAGGAATAGCATGAAGAAACGCACAAAAAAGCGAAAAAATAACTATGCAAATCAGATTACATGCAATTACTGTAAAGATAAGAAATTAGCCAATAGAAAATTGTCATGACTAATTTCCACATGTAAGTGGGATAGTGCGAATGACTTTATGCAGGCTGCAAAATTTTTCTAGGTTTAGAATTCGAAGTAGGACTCAAAAAATTTTGTCTATTCTAATTCATTTCTCACCTCTTCCATATTTACAGACATCGTCTCGAATATGAGAAAAAATCTACTGTCTAGAAGCACTGCTCTTCATCCAATATTTCCTCCTTGTCGACGTACCACAAACGCAGGCCGACGACGCTCCTTCATTGTTTACCTTCATTAAGCGCTTTTTGCTACTTGTTGTTGGCCAGTCCATTTGTGGCGCCAGCACTCGTGATCTATTGTCGGTTTTTCCCTAACCTTCAATTAGAAAAGCATTACGAGAAGTGGAGTCCGCTGAGAGGTTTTGGTTACGTACATATGTCATTGTTTAATGAAGGGAACCACTGTCTCAACATAACAGAGAATTCGCTAACACATTAGAAGATATAATTACGGAATTAAAAATATTAGGTTACTTCTTGCGTAAAGCCGCTTGTCTGAAATATAATATATAACTACTGCTTAAATCCTTAATGTAGCTTTATACATTGAAAAGTAAAAAAAAAATTAAACCAACTCTGTTTCTCCATTTCTTAATTATTATTTCAAAAACGAGGGACTGAAAGTGATGCATATAAGGGGCTAACTGTTAGAGAAATTACAATAAAATCAAGGCAATGCCGCCTCATCTGAGAAATTGAGTAATTTAGAAGATATTGCGCTTGAACTACCGTAGCATTTTTATATCGACATGACTTAAAGATAAACCTCGACTTCAGGAACATCTAGTAGTATTTTCAAGATGAGAATCAATCTCATCCTGCACTAGTTAAATGCTATCGTGCAGTTGCCTATGGCAAATAACAATCAAAAATTGTAGATCATGCAATAATGGACTAAACCTTGAATTTACAGGAACAACCAATAGAAAATCGTTCATCCCGTCGTGCTTAAGTATAGAGATCAGCAATGATAACTTCTCAGCTACTTGACTCCCCATTTTAGAATACCTATAGAATATACGTAAAATGCTGTGCAATATTATGCGTGCATTTCATTGTGAAAGCTGAGAACGACTTGGCTTTGCGGCTGTTTGTGTATGATGTCCCCTCAAGAGCGACCGAGCACTTTACATTAGAAGTAAGCATTATGAAGGTTTTGGCAACGAAGAATTTACCACCGGCGTAAAGAACTCAAGTAATCGCGACAGTACTGAGAGGAACTGCCATCGACCAGTCAAAATATTGTGCACTGCAACATCGGCACACTCAAATGCCGTTGGAAGCCGTGACTGATTTTACCTCAAATAGAAACGAACGAAGGAAAAGCTTTCAAAACTCTCAGATACACAGACATAGAAATTCATCTGCCTTGAAAACTTTCCTGAAAACAAAACAAATGAGTTCGTTCCCGCTTCGAACGACTAAATGACACGCGCAACAAATGGAGCATAAAACCGCGACGAA